ACATTCTTCAAAGATGATAGATTCTCTCTCCAAAGATGATAGATTCTCTCTTCAAAGATGATAGATTCTCTTTTCAAAGAAGAAAGATTTATTGGATTTCTACGTAAGTTCAGAAAAAGAAAACTGATTTATCAAAGACCAAATGGGGCATCAAGGTCATAGTTCTAACTACGACGAGAGTTCCAGTTTGAAATGATTTTGAATAAGTGAAAGAAGACAGAGTTCTTCACTTTAAGATCAAATAAAGATGAACTTAATATTTATTTATCATATTTAGACATTTGCAAAAATATGGGCATTTTCATTCATTTTATCTATGTTGAATATTTGACAGGAATTTCAAAAATTTCAACAAAAATTCGAATTCATCACTCGATGGATCAATTTCCAAAATAGTTCATAATGAGAAGAACTCATCTGAAGAAGGAGAAGAAGTTCATAATGTGAAGAGCTTGTTCAACCTTTTGCGTGATTCTATCACAGAAGGAGATATATCATCATCAACATTTCCAGAAGTGTTCATAATGAGAAGAACTCATCTGAAGAAGGATAAGAAGTTCATAATGAGAAGAACTTGTTCAACCTTAATTTGATTCATCACATATTAAAGTTGAATCAACAATACCTCTTTTGAAGGTCAATATTTCCAGAAGAGTTCATAATGAGAAGAACTCATCTGAAGAAGAAGAAGTTCATAATGAGAAGAGCTTGTCTTTTGAAGGTCAATATTTCCAGAAGAGTTCATAATGAGAAGAACTCATCTAAAGAATAAGAAGTTCATAATGAGAAGAGCTTGTTCAACATTTTGCATGACTCTATCACAGAAGGAGATAGACCAATATCAACATTTCCAGAAGTGTTCATAATGAGAAGAACTCATCTGAAGAAGGAGAAGAAGTTCATAATGAGAAGAACTTGTTCAACCTTAATTTGATTCATCACATATTAAAGTTGAATCAACAATACCTCTTTTGAAGGTCAACATTTCCAGAAGAGTTCATAATGAGAATAACTCATCTGAAGAAGAAGAAGTTCATAATGAGAAGAGCTTGTTCAACCTTTTGCTAGATCTTATCACAGAAAAAGATAGATTATCATCCCCAGTGGAAAAATGAAAGAGTTCATAATAAGAAGAACTAATCCCAGAGAAGAACTTGTTCAACATTTCCATCCTAATCAAGTGAAGTCATAATGAGAAGAACTCATCTAAAGAATAAGAAGTTCATAATGAGAAGAGCTTGTTCAACATTTTGTATGACTCTATCACAGAAGGAGATAGACCAACATCAACATTTCCAGAAGTGTTCATAATGAGAAGAACTCATCTGAAGAAGGAGAAGAAGTTCATAATGAGAAGAACATGTTCAACCTTAATTTGATTCATCACATATTAAAGTTGAATCAACAATACCTCTTTTGAAGGTCAACATTTCCAGAAGAGTTCATAATGAGAATAACTCATCTGAAGAAGAAGAAGTTCATAATGAGAAGAGCTTATTCAACCTTTTGCTAGATCTTATCACAGAAAAAGATAGATTATCATCCCCAGTGGAAAAATGAAAGAGTTCATAATAATAAGAACTAATCCCAGAGAAGAACTTGTTCAACATTTCCATCCTAATCAAGTGAAGTCAAATGAAAAAAACTTATTGTCTTTTCGTCTTTGCCATATTCTCGTTAACACAAGAATGAGCAAAGAGGGGCAGCTGAAGACACTAGTTTTTTTCCATTTGGTTTTTATTTTTATTATCATTATTATATTTATTTATTACTTTATTATTATTTTTAATTATATTACTTATTATTATTATTAATATTATTAATACTATTACAGGCTCAAATAGACAGGCCCAGTTACAAAAGCCCAATACCCGGAGGCCCGTTTTACACCCAGACTGGCCTAAATAGTACCCTAAACCCATTTAAGGTTTGTATCTCAATCTCAGCCGCCATCCACCAGCCACCGTTGGATCTGATGAGATCCAACGGTCCACAGACGAACCAGAAGAAACCCTAGGGTTATGATACCCTAGGGACTATGACAGTCGTCGTCGCTTCACGTCTCAGCCAGATGCCATTCCATGACCATCCGTTTCAACAGGAATCAAATGAGACCGTCCACGTTATGGTTTTAGGATGAGTCACCACTTTAGGTTTAGTGACTCACCGAGTGATGCTCTATTATCCGGTCCGAGACAAGCGTCGGTGATGGCTATAAAGGCATCAACCGAACCTGCGAGAAAAAAACAGAGAGCAACAAAAGAGGAACACAACAACCAAACCACCAAAATATCGAAACAAAAATTAAAAGAAACCTTACCGAGGAAGCTGCGACGCCACCGGAGTTCCCACGCTCCCATACGTGCCACCGTTAAAGTCAAAATACCGAAGGTATTTCTCTAGATCTACAAAAATCCCTAGCTTTTTAGGATAAACTATGGTCGGATTTGGGTATAGATCGCTCGGATCTATCATTTGGAAAGCTTTTGTATTTTCCAGCCACCGGCGACGGTGGCCGGCGGTGGGGTTGGCGGCGGCGTGTGGCTACCGACCGGCGACCGGATTCCCTCCGGTGAGGGAATCATAAAGAGAAGGCAGAGAGAATTCCTTCTCTCGGTTTGAGAGAGAGAGAGGGGGAAAGAAGAAATGAAAAATGGCCTTAAGGCCGGTTTAGTTTAGGGTATAAAAACCCTCCCTTGAACGACGTCGTTTAAGGGAGAGACCTTTGTATAATTTTACCCTTGGCTAAATTATTCCCGCAGCCACTGTAATTTTGAAAACATTCAATTTGATCTTAAAGCATATCTAATATATATATATATATATATATATATATATATATATATATATATATATATTAGGTTAAATAACCAAGTTAGCCATTATTTTTAATAATTAATATTTTAATCCCGAAAGCATGTTTTAATTTATTTTAATTTGATATTCTAATTTGATATAAGTTTATTTTAGTCACTAAATTAATAAATTGGTAAAATATCATGTTTAGCCACTATAATTTTAAATAAATAATTAGGAATTAGGGTATTTAATTTTAAAATGTTATAATTTAGTCACTAATTTTAATACTTTCATTTATTTTTAATTACAAGTTTTATTACTTTTTATATTTTAGTACTATAGTTTTAATTTTATTTATTTTAATCACTTTTTAGTTATATTTTTAAATTTTATATATTTAATTCAATATTTTAATTATTATTTTATTTTAATTATATTAATATATATTATTTGTTTAAATTTATAAATTAATAATATTTATTTATTTTTAAATATTAAGAAATGACAATCTTAAAACAACTAGATGTCCTATTCAGGTATTTTAAAAATAATAAATATCACGCTTATAAAAAATATATTTACTTTAATTTTATATAAATTATTTTAATCATATTTTTAATAAATAAATGAATATCTTACTTTTATAAATTATATATATATTAATTTTTTTTATTTTTAATTATTTTTAAAGAAATGTTTTATTAATATTTATTAATATTTTTAATATTAAGAAAGGAGTTGTCTTAAAGCAACTAGAAGTCCTTTTCTGATTTTCCTAAGTAAATAAATATCTTATTTATATATATATATATATATATATATATATATATATATATATATTATAAATATTAATGTATTTTCTTAAAATTATAGTAATAAATTTGAAATAACAAAATTAGAAATTAAATATATTTTTGAATTCTTAAAATTCCAATAATAAAGATAATTTATAATTAATGAGCACCAATTTTGGGCGTTATAGAGGTTCTAATCATTCCCTAAACGTAATCGACCACGAATCCTTTTTTACTAAAAATTTTTGGTTATACGCAGATCAGTTTATCTTTTAAATTATGTTTTTTTAAACTATTTTAAAATATTGTTTTTAGGTATTTGACTTGCCTAACACAAAAAGTCAATGGCTACTTCCAAAATGTTTTTTTAATCAAAATCATTTATTTATTCATTTTATTTTTTCCGTCAATTAAAAATTAGTGTCCGGGCAAAAACCGATTGCGACAATTTGTTGTTACTAATAATAAAAACGAATGATGAAGGCGACCCATCATGGAAACAAAGAGAAAATCTTCCTTCCAAAATGAATTTGACAGTCCAATATGCATATTTCTAGTCCATGAGTTTTGTAGCATATCACATTTAGCAACTTCCAATTCACCCATTGATTGGACTTTTCAAAAATTGCATGGTCCATCCTTGCCGCCCAATTTTCTTGTCCATTTGTACAAAACAAAATTGATTGATAAGTGCTTGATCAATTTTCTTGTCCATTTATACACCCAACAATGATTAAGTTACTTGAATAATGAGGTAAAACAATTGCCCATATAGTGTAGTAAAAGTTTTTTTTTTTCTAAATTAGAGTGTCTGTTAGAGTATTCGGTGAAAGTCGACATGATTACATAATGACTTTTGAAAAGTGTGTAGATTTTTTTAATATAAACGACGAAAAAAAAAGACATAATTTCAAGTAAAAGTTATCGTGCACTCTGGATGAAGTAATTTTTTTTTATAAATTTTAAATCTAATTTTAATCTTAACTTAGAGAGGAAAGGAAGGAAGGACTCGCATGAAGCAAGATGAGTGCTTCTTGCAAGTCTAATACTCATGACTTAAGAAAATATCAGGGAATAAATATGAGCATCTTGATCAATCGGGTAAACATTAACAAGTGAATAAGCCATAGTTTGATGAGGATAGGCATGTGCTAACTCTGAAATTTAAATTTTCTTCTATTAATTACTTATTTTACTAATGATGCTCATATTGAAATTTTATTTGTGTCCACCATTCAAAAGTGTGTTATTAACATATGTATACTATGCTCACTTCAAAAATTTACGATAACAATTGTAAAGAAAGCTACTGCATATATATCATTCCCAAAACAGGTAAACAGTGTTCCAATACATACATTCTACGTAGAGATACTAATATTGAAAGAAAACAATTCATTAATAGACCTAAGCCATAAACCCAGCATCAAGCACCAGCCTTGAAAGCAGAATTACAGCAACAGTCACCATTGCTAAGAGATCACGAGTCTTCAATCTTCCAACATCGCTCCGGCCGAGCCCCAAACCCATGATGTTTGGTCTTGGTGCCACTGGAACATTTGGGTTCACCATGGGGGAAGAAGCAACAGATGAAGAGTTATTTGTCCCTAGAGAAACTTGAGAACCAGATGAACCAGGAGGAGAAGACAACCCTTGACGAAAAGAAATCGATTATCGAAAAAACCAGCATGAATTCAAGAGAGTTATTAATTCAGAAGAGGTGAATGGTACCTGAGCAAGCTGAGGTGTTTACTCGGAGCTTGCAAAGAAGAGGTAGGTGGACTGCAAGTGTCCTGTTTATAGGAAAGGCAGTCAAGGTGGTGTCATTGAGAAGGAGGCAAAGACAAGCAGGTTGCAGTCCGTAGAGCTGGTTGAGATTGTCACAGCAGGATTGTGCCGGTTTTTGAGCATTGCCCTGCACGAATGGTGCACATGGCATGAGAGCCACCAGGCGAGGGTTGCAGTCGGACACGGTTTGTCCTTGGCCTGGGGTGATAGGGACCTCCTGAGAAAGGCATGTGGGAAGAAGTGCAACCAAGAGCAGCAGCATAACAATGGCGGAAACAGCTTGTGAAACTGCCATGGTGAACACTGTGAAGTGTGAATTTTCTTGATCTGATTCTGTTATTCTAACATGCAGATTTTACCAAAATATTTAAAAGCCAATCCACCTAGGTTAATGAACCAACTTACAACACTCCAGAGTGAGCAAAACTCAACTTGAAAAATCAAGTTTTTTTATTTTGAGTTAATCGACTCAAGTTATTCGATTCAGCTCGAATCATCAAGTCATTTTCGAGTTCGAGTCGAGTTGACATTTTAAAATTTTCGACTAACTCGAAAAATCAAAATTTGGTTGAATATTTTGACTGTTTTGTGATTTAGTCACTAGTTTCCTTATTCTTTCGATTCCTCCTTCATTTTAAGTCTATTTGTTTTACCAAATTTGAACCACATGCTCCTAAACCATCGTAGAATACATATGTACTTTCAATTTCACTTTTTTAATAAAAAAATATATATTTTTCAATTTAGTCCCTCAATTTTGTATGATTTCCTCATTTCTTCAATTCATAATTTATTTTAGTCTGTTTTTTTACCAAATTTGAACCACATGCTCCCATGCCACTATAGAATACATATGTAACTTTAATTCCTATTTTTTTACTAAAACTGTACTCTCTTTTTTTAATTAATTCCTTAACTTTGCATTTTACTCAATTTGATCTTTTGACTACAATTGTTTGCAAATTCTTTTTTCTCATCAATTCCTTGACTAGTTTATACTTCCCCTTAAAATACCTTCTTTGAAATATAATATTATAAATATATTTTATAATTTTAGATTGTATTTGATATATTAAATAACATTATAATATGAAAAGAATACGAAGAAATATATATATAATAGAGAAAGTCGAAAATTTGGAACCAATCCATATCTTAATATTATAAATAATTATAATTAAATTTGTGTAGAAAAACAACTCAACTAGACTCAATTCAAATTTTATAAGCTCGACTTGACTCGAAAATATTTTAAATTAAGTTTGAGTGATAAAATACGACTCATCAACTAAAATAACTCAAATACTTGACTCGAATCATAAATATTAAATGATATTTAAACTTGTGGTTTTTTTTAACATTTTCAAAATTGGGTTTAGATTATCGATTTTAGTCCGAACATAATTCTTAAATGAAATAAATTTTAGATAATACGATTTAAAAAAACATGATTAGTGAACCTAAAAATATCTTATTTTGAAACAAACATAATCCAACTCATTCAAACCTAAAACAATTGATTTTAATTGAGTTTATATACTTAGTTCTGTCAAATATAAGCTCATTGTTGCTGAATCTAAGCATCTGCGTTTAGAAAAAGAAGCTGGAATTTAGCACAAATACAAATACAATGACCCGACGCAGTAAATGAAAAGAAAAATAAACCTGTAATATGATATATTGATATTACATATGCTAGTATATTCATTCATAGAAAAAAATCAACGTCAACGTCTTCCAGATCGTCCAGTTCACTTGCATCGGTCAAGCAAAAAAAATATTTTATTTGAAGTTCAGGGGTTAAATTAGTATTTTATCTGAATTCTAGAATGAAATTAAATTTTAAAAATTTTGCTAACGTGTCATATCATCAAACCAACAAAAGTTAAAGGTTCAGTTACCAAAATAATATAGAACGAAAAGAAAAATGATCAGAATGTAACTTTTTTTCAAAATTGATGATCAAAGTAAAATAGGCTGAAAAAAGGGACCACCATCGTAGTTTACCCACAAGTAAAACTTGTTGGGTTGGGTATTATGAATCTATGAGGTGTTGAAACTTGAAGATGCAATTGCATTGTAACATGAAGTCCAATGAATGTGTTAGCAGAATATGTAACTTGAAAGTACATAAGAATGATGGATCCACAAGTGAAAAAATTACAATAATGTTACAAACATTACAAACTTTAACCTATGTTACTCGGACTTTTCATGAAGTATTCGTGTCCGACACTCAAATACGAGGATATGATTTCGACACTTACACCCAAATCAGAGTAACAGACTTTAACACCAAAAGAATGAATAATGTGTGCTGGACTTGATTTGCACAGCCAATCTAACCATCAAACCTTTTTAACACAAAAACTGAGAAAAAAGAAGAGCAAACCCCTTCAATAAGCTTTGGATAATCACCTAAAAGTGAAAATAGATGCCAAAATTGCGATGACCAAAGTTAGAAGCAGGTTGGAGTTACCACAGTGCAATGCCATTGCTGAAGAACTGAGTCATTCTCTGCAAAACACGAGCGTCGACCATTAGTAGTAGGAAGCGAAGCAGATAAATTTTGATAAAGTATCGGTTTTGGATACATAACATACTTTTGCAAGCTCTTCAGAGCACCACAATACAAAACATTATCAGGAGGAGGCAGCTCTGTCTTGCCATTTTCCTCAGGATTGACAATTCTCATATAGGTCTCTCGGCCTAGGTACCACCTATCCAAGTTCTCCACTCTAAGGTTCCATACTCCCACATTATCAAGAGAGATAAGGACTGCTGTCCACCCACCAGGGTACACCTACACAAAACCAAAAGGCACAAGAGATAAAGTAAGCACTTTTCAAAAGTAATGCGAAACTATCCCTCATTTTTTTTTCAAAAAACCGACCTCGGTCGTGCTTCGAGAGATCGCGTCCCATTTATTATAACTGCTTCTGCTGCTTTCCGTCCACAAACCAAAATCCATTCTGCATCAAACACCCAAAAGAGATCAGCACTTGGCACTTTACTACACATATATATATACTAGTATATAACTTTCTTACCCAACCACATAAAATGCATAGCCATCCATGTGAAAACTCTGTATTTTGGTGTCATTATTCTGAAATATAACCTCTACGAATCCCCGGTATGTAGCGTTGATTATGGATCGGTCCATCTTGGGAGTTGTATCATGAGGCTTACTGGGGAAATCCAACTTATAAGCACCCTTTACATGGTGCAGGTCGGCTAGTCTGATCTGTGTATCAGGGTTGACGAAAGAGATACCATTCAGTGTAGCAAGACGCTTACCGTTAATCCTAAAAGGTGGCAAGCTCCGTATTACGTATGTTTCGGTCACATTAATTGAACCATAATGAAAAAGACCCTTGGGGGTTCGGCCGAGCTCCACTTGCTGTTGTATTTTGCCTAATCATTACAGAATAGAGAGTTCAATATGTGATAACAAAGCATGAATCTGAAGACATGCCAAGGGAGTGTGAGCATAAACCTGATGGCTCTGGGCTGGTTCATTGCTGACCATTGGTTGTAAACATCACTCAGAGGAACAAGGCAGCGGACCGGTTACCGGTCCTTTCGAATTGGAATAATGCAAGACGCCCACACCGGTTACTCTTTGCCACACCGATTCATTCACGAACCGAGCACTTGCCACAATGTAGTAATCTTTAGTTGCGTTTTGATCCATGGTAACTAAAAACGAATACGATTGTCCCACATGAATATCGAAGCTAGTGAAATTTTGTTGCGATGTATAACGTCCTTCGGTTTCCACTAAGAGAAGATTATGGCCCTCTATCCTAAAGTTCAAACTAGTTGATATCCCAACATTATGCACTCGAAAACGATACGTCTTGCCTGCAATACACAATGCCATTGCAGATTATGAACTAAAACCCCCTTTCAGCTGATGTTTCATGAAACATTATCAATAACTTGTTTGAAAAGAATACCTTGATGAACATTAATGATACATGCACCACACGCCCTAAAGCTAAGGATGATGAATTTACTATACCACTTGGCCCTATCACACGAGGCCGGACAAAACTTCTTAAAGACAAGCTTCAAATCGCAGTTCAAGCATTCATCCGTAAGGGTCTAATAGCAGCATATTTGCAACAACTTTTTGAAGAGGATCCAGTTGTTATCCGGTCGACATGTCTTCTGGAGATACAACCGTCTATCTCTTATCTTTCCAACGGTTCTTGAATCGTATCAATCCGATATCGGGAACTCAAGATATGACCATTTTACTGAAGACGGTGCATGCAGGAAATCCTATACGGGATTAATACGTTATTTTGTAAATATTACGAATTTTCAATATTTATATTGATTATTTGTAATATAATTTAATATAGGATGATTAATTATCTTTTAGGATCAGAATTATTATTTTATTAGAAATTAAGGTTGGGTTAAAACAATATTTTTAGTTATTATTATTTTATTAGGAATTAGAGTTAAAACATGTTTAGTTTATTAATATTTTATTCTTTAGTTATTTAGGACCTTTAGAATTCAGCCCCTATATAAAGGAGGCTTCATTCAACTTTGTAAATCAGATTTCTTTGATTAATAATACAACGAGAGTTCGTTTTTGCAAGTGCTAATTGCCTTGTGCCTTCGAAGCTTCTTCTCCTGGAGTTCTTTCAAGTTCTTGTGAGGGAGATTAATCTTCACACTCCAATTTGCCTTTTCATCGCGACTAGGAGGGTTGGTTAGAGCCATTTATCGAGTTTGCCTTTTCATTGCGACTAGGAGGTTCGATAGGACACTTATCCATCTATTTTTCCACAAATCCATCTGCACCATCAATCATCTTTACCATCCACCTTCGTAAGGGAGATCTTTGATTTCTTTTTATCTTATCTTATTTTATTTTCAATTTCTTTATCTTTTGTTTATTTTATTCTAATCTTATTGCCTTGAAGAAACCCTAAAGACTTCGAAGCTTCTTCTCCTGGAGTTCTTTCAAGTTCTTGTGAGGGAGATTAATCTTCACACTCCAATTTGCCTTTTCATCGCGACTAGGAGGGTTGGTTAGAGCCATTTATGAGTTTGCCTTTTCATTGCGACTAGGAGGGTTCGATAGGACACTTATCATCTATTTTCCACAAATCCATTCACCATCAATCTCTTTACCATCCACCTTCGTAAGGGAGATCTTTTGATTCTATTTATCTATTTATTTTCTTTTCTTTATCTTTTGTTTATTTATTCTAATCTTATTGCCTTGAAGAAACCTAAAGAACTAATTACTACTGCCACCTTCCCATATTCATCACTTTGTTCTTAATCGAGTCTAGAGCTTTCTAGGTTTTGATTCTTCAACAAGAGCAACGTTCATTAACCGCCACGCTTCCCTATCAATGGGTATCAGAGCTTGGCCGATTCTTGAAAGAAGCAAGCAATCTTATTTGTTCTTGCACACACACCGTCAAGGTACCCCAACGGAGCTAGTACAGAGAAGATTCATCGTTTCGTTTTTATTTAATTTTAATTTAGATTCAAATCCTTCTTGTTAGTTTGCTATTTTTTCAAAAAAAAACAAAAAAACAAAAAAAAACCAACAAACAAAAAGCCAAATTTCAAAAAAAAATGCAAACAAGGTATTTAGGGCTATTTTCCAGATATCATATCGTCTTAAGTTAATCTCCATTCCAAAATTCACTTCGATCAGAGTTCATTAGATCCTTCAAATACATCATTCAGTTTTATCGGCAGATTCAATCTAGAATTGTTGAATTTCTTGAAAATTATACAGAAGTAATTTGTGGTGAAAATTTCCAGATTGCAACTTCATATTAAGATCATTCACACAAAAAATCAGATTTTTTGGGATCAAGAACAACTTCAACAAAGCGATCAAGAAAAACAGATTGTTTGAGGACTCACCGTTCAACAGAGTCTACTGGATACTACTGAAGGTATTTGGTTCTGAATTTACAGGTGGTTTCTTGACGCATTTAAAGATATTAAAGAATTTTTCCAGAATTTTTGGACACCGGTAACCCCCTCAAAAACGTTGCTCAAGTTAATCCAACGTTTTCTAGGTTTTCTGGTTTGGTCCCTTTTTTTCTTTAACTCTTAGTGCTTTAGGTTCTTTTGTTTTTCCCTGTTATTGTTCTTTTGCATTATCTAACACATTATATTCCTTGTGTTAGTAGACTAAAGAGTTGCATACTTCTTCCTTCTTTGCATTCTTGTCTCTTGGAGTCTAACCTTTGTTTGGCCTCTTAGAGCTTTTAGGTTTTTCTTATCGCCTTTGCTAGTAATCAAACTCCGATACGAACTGTGAAAGACTACTTGGTAAAGTGAGTTTTAAATAGTACAAGATCGGCTTACTTGCCTCTCATTGTGTTACTTTCTTGGAGTGACTTGTGAGGTTTCTTGCTTTGTTAAATTTATTTTCTTTTATTTTTATTCTACTTTAAAATCTTCTTTTGTGTTATAATTGCAGATGGGCGACAATAACAATGAGACACTTACGGCATCTTAGCCGCACTTGAACGACTCACAACTCAATTTGATCAACTTAATAATGCCTTGAGAGAACGACAATAACTACAACTGGATCTACCAAACCAGAATCCAAGGCCAAACAATGCTGAACTTTTGGCCCCCAGGCGAGCACAACCACGTTTTCAAACACCCAAACTCTTTGCAAAACCAAAGTTCACGATCCCTCTTTTAAAGGAGACTACGATCCAGACAAGTACATCGATGGGAAGGAAAAGTTGATCTCTTGTTCGTATACCATGACTGCCCCCAAGCTGAACAAGTTCCCCTCACCTTGGAATTCGAAGGATATGCTCACACTTGGTGGATGCAAACAAGGAAAAAGATCGACAGCTACCAAATTCAACCAATCTTCTTGGACCGAACTTAAACATGCCATGAGGAACCGATTTCTACCGACACATTATACACGGAAGTTAAACAACGACTACACGACTTCGACAAGGTAGAAGTTCAGTTGAAGATTACTACAAGGAGATGCAGTCCTTACTCAATAGGCTAACATAACTGAAGAAGAGAGGACACCCCCTAAAGACGACACCCGAGCAAGAGACATCAAGTGTTTTAAATGCTTAGGAAGAGGCCATATCCCGCAATTATCCAACACGAGGACCTTAACCATACTAGGTATGGATCTTACAATTCTGACTCCGAGACGACATCGCCGACATTCTAGTACATGTCGAAGCCAAAGAAGATAGTGATGACTATGGAAGCGATGAGTACAATGGCACAATCTTGGTGATTCATCATACATTGAACATCCAAGCATCCGACGAGTCTGACATACAACGTTCCAACATCTTCCACACACGCTGCCTAATCAAGGAACAGCCATTCTCCATCATCATTGACAATGGTAGTTGTGTTAACGTCATTAGCTCCAACATTGTTGAATCACTCAAACTTCCTTGCCAACGACATCCAAAACCTTATTGCTTACAATGGCTTAATGAGAGTGACGCGATGAAGGTGGTTAAACAATGCCTCGTTAATATCAAAATGGGAAAGTATTGTGACGACGTATGGTATGATGTAATTCCGATGCAAGCATCCCACATTCTCCTAGGACGGCCTTGGCAATACGACAACGACGTCACATATTATGGTCGAAAGAACACTTACACAATTCCAATAAAAGGTAAACCGTTCCGACTTAACCCCCTACCCCCAAAGAGATTCTCATAGATCAACAACGAATTCTCAAGGAAACAGGGAATTTGAAACAAAAGACAAAGAGGTCACACCCGATAAAAGCCAACAAATGACCCACGGGGTGAGTGAACCTCAATGTGAAAATAAAGAATATCTCAAAACATTTATGCGAGTGCAAAGATATGAGAGAGACCCTTTTTCAAAATAGGTCGTGCATTCTAGTCCGTTTCAAGGACTCCATTTTATCAACTATCACTAACATCACATATTTGCCTAGTGTGTTTTCTTCTCTATTACAAGAGTTTCAAGATGTCTTAAGCAACCCACCAGATGGTTTACCACCTACAAGAGGAATCGAACATCAAATCGACTTTATCCCTGGATCAACCATACCAAACTGCCCCGCTTACCGATGCAATCTTGAGGAAACGAAGGAATTGGAACGACAAATAGATTCATTATTACAAAAAGGACACATCCGTGAGAGTCTTAGTCCTTGTGCAGTTCCCGTCATTCTAGTTCCAAAAAAAGATGGCACATTCCGAATGTGTGTAGATTGTCGACCTATCAATCGGATAACAATCAAGTATAGACATCCTATTCCACGCCTAGATGATATGTTGGATGAACTACATGGTGCAAGTATCTTCACCAAAATTGACTTGAAGAGTGGTTACCATCAAATTCGAATGAAAGAAGGAGACAATGGAAACAGCATTCAAGACAAAGTTCGCTTGTATGAATGGCTTGTTATGCCTTTGGACTCACAAACGCTCCAAACACCTTCATGAGATTAATGAATCACGTTCTTAAGGAGTTTATAGGTAAATTTGTTGTCGTTTACTTTGATGACATTCTTATATACTCATCTTCTCTTAATTCTCATTTCATTCATGTTCGAATGGTTCTCGAAGTTCTTCGAGAACTTTATATGCTAACATGGATAAGTGTGTGTTTTGCAGTGATAAGCTTATGTTTTTTAGGCTTTATAGTTACTGTACAGGGTATTTATGTAGATAAAGAGAAGTCAAGGCAATTCAATGGCCCACGCCTACTTCCATCACCGAGGTAAGATCTTTTCATGGTTTGGCAAGTTTCTACCGTCGCTTTGTCAAAGATTTCTCAACCATTGTTGCATCATTAACCAAGATCATCAAAAAGTTAGTTGAATTCAAATGGGGACCACTACAACAAAAAGCTTTTGAACTTCTTAAAGATAAGTTATGTTCTGCCCCTATTCTTCATCTTCCCAATTTTTCTAACACCTTTGAGCTAGAATGTGATACTTCAGGCATAGGCATTGGTGACGTCCTCATGCAAGAAAGCCAACCTATCGCTTACTTTAGTGAAAAGTTAAAAGGTGCACAATTGAACTACTCTACCTATGACAAGGAACTTCTTGCACTCGTCCGAGCATTCAAATAGTGGCAACATTATCTTCTCCCTAAAGAGTTTGTCATTCACACGGACCATGAATCACTCAAATGGTTAAATGGACAAGGTAAGTTAAACAAACGACATGCTCGATGGGTTGAGTTCATTGAATCTTTTCCTTACATCATCAAATACAAACAAGGGAAAGATAACATTGTAGCTGATGCATTATCTCGGCGATACACACTTATCACTCGAATGCATGCTACTGTTCTGGGTTTTGTACAAATCAAAGAACTTTATCCTAACGATCCAGATTTTTCTGAGATTTATAAACAATGTGTAAAAGGTGCTTTTAACAAGTTTTATCTTGTAGATGGCTTTCTTTTTCGCATGAACACGTTGTGTATACCACAAGGCTCTTTGCGAGAGTTCTTGGTTCACGAGTCACATGCCGGAGGACTTATGGGACACTTCGGTATTCACAAAACACTTGATATGGTCATGGAACACTTCTTTTGGCCGCATATGCGTAAAACAGTGGAAAAGATTTGTGCATCATGCATCACGTGCAAAAGCAAAGTCAAAGGTAAATCCTAATGGTTTGTACACGCCTTTACCAATTTCTTCTTCTCCTTGGATCGATTTATCGATGGATTTTATACTTGGCTTACACCACACTAAGAAAGGACGAGATAGTATTTTTGTGGTTGTGGACATATTCTCAAAGATGGCACACTTCATTCCTTGCCATAAAACGAACGATGCCACACATATTGCTGATTTATTCTTTCGAGAAATAGTCCACCTTCATGGCATTCCTCGCACCATTGTGTCCGATCGTGACACTAAGTTTATAAGCCACTTTTGGAAGGTATTGTGGGGTAAGATTGGCACAAAACTTCTCTATTTCACTTCTTGTCATCCTCAAATCGATGGATAAACCGAAGTAATAAATCGGATTCTAGGATCTTTGCTAAGAACTGTGGTAGGTAAGAATACCCGTAATTTGGGAAGAATGTTTACCTTTTGTTGAGTTTTGCTTATAATCGATCCATTCACTCCACAACAGTTATTCTCCATTCGAAATAGTTTATGGTTTTAACCCATTAACTACTTTGGATCTTATTCCCTTACCTTTAGATCAGGTTGTCAGTTTTTAGATGTGAAAAGAAGGCTGCCCTTATCAAAGACATTCACGCCAAAGCCAAACTCAAGATGGAGAAAACCTACGAGGCAATCGCAAACCGAGTTAACAAGGGCCGACGACATGTCACCTTTGAACCAGGAGATTGGGTATGGGTTCACATGAGAAAAGAAAGGTTCCCGGCACAAAGAAAATCCAAGCTATACCCACGAGGCAATGGCCCATTCCAAGTCCTTGACCGAATCAATGACAACGCCTACCGCATTGATCTTCCCGGTGAGTATAACATGACTGCATCCTTTAATGTTTCTGACTTATCTCCTTTTGATATTTCAGATTCGTGGACGAATCCTTTTAAGGAAGGGGGAGATGATACATGCACCACACGCCCTAAAGCTAAGGATGATGAATTTACTATACCACTTGGCCCTATCACACAAGGCCGGACAAAACTTCTTAAAGACAAGCTTCAAATCGCAGTTCAAGCATTCATCCGTAAGGGTCTAATAGCATTATATTTGAAACAACTTTTTGAATGGTATCCAGTTGTTATCCGGTCGACATGTCTTCTTGAGATACAACCTTCTATCTCTTATCTTTCCAACGGTTCTTGAATCGCATCAATCCGATATCGGGAACTCAAGATATGACCATTTTACTGAAGACGGTGCATGCAGGAAATCCTATACGGGATTAATACGTTATTTTGTAAATATTACGAATTTTCAATATTTATATTGATTATTTGTAATATAATTTAATATAGGATGATTAATTATCTTTTAGGATCAGAATTATTATTTTATTAGGAATTAAGGTTGGGTTAAAACAATATTTTTAGTTATTATTATTTTATTAGGAATTAGAGTTAAAACATGTTTAGTTTATTAATATTTTATTCTTTAGTTATTTAGGACCTTTAGAATTCAGCCCCTATATAAGGAGGCTTCATTCAACTTTGTAAATCAGATTTCTTTGATTAATAATACACGAGAGTTCGTTTACAAGTGCTGATTGCCTTGTGCCTTCAAAGCTTCTTCTCCTGGAGTTCTTTCAAGTTCTTCTTGTGAGGGAGATTAATCTCACACTCCAATTGCCTTTTCATCGCGACTAGGAGGGTTAGTTAGAGCCATTTATCGAGTTTTCCTTTTCATTGCGACTAGGAGGGTTCGATAGGACACTTATCCATCTATTTTTCCACAAATCCATCTGCACCATCAATCATCTTTACCATCCACCTTCGTAAGGGAGATCTTTTGATTTATTTATTATCTTATCTTATTTTGTTTTCAATTTCTTTATCTTTTGTTTATTTTGTTCTAATCTTATTGCCTTGAAGAAACCCTAAAGAATCCTAATTACTGCTGCCACCTTCCCCTATTCATCCCCTTTGTTCTTAATCGAGTCTAGAGCTTTCTAGGTTTGATTCTTCAACAAGAGCAACGTTCATTAACCCGCCACCGCTTCCCTATCAATTAATGGTTTCATATTCAATACCATCAGGGATAAGAGTTTTGTTATACCGGTAAGGTCCTTTCCCTTTAATGAGAACTCCATCCGGCAAACCGAGTTCTTCACCGGAGTCGAGAACTGTTCTCAATGCCTAAAAGAAGAGTATGTCAATTATTAGACTTAAACTGCAAAAAGAATGAAAAAAGAAGAGTTGTTCTCCATGCACATAAAATTGAAGCCTCAACTGTTCATCGCTTACTAACCGTGTGGTTGTTGGTATACCAGTCACCGATCAAGACGGCAATGTCGTCGTTCGGTTCAGGAAAAGGAATCGCTATAATTTTCCAGTTGTTAATAACAATGGGACCAAAGCCACCCGATGCTCTTTGAAAATTGAGCGAGGGGAAGTAGAAAAAGCTACCGATTTTATCCTTAACTTGAAACTGGTAAGTAAAATTCATTTTCGGATGAATCGGACAATTCGTACCACGAACACCATCCTGCCACGAATTTCTCCGCAACTGAATTCCAGACCTTTAAGAAAACATAAATTAGAAGTCCAAGAACTAGAGTTTCATCAAATAATAATTCAAGGAAACTCAAATCCTACCAAGTCATCAAAAGATTTTCGTTCAATTGATTGTGAACATTAACAACCACGTTGTAATTGGTCGTGGCATTCAAAACAGGACCAGGAAATGCCCCATTGATTGCTATAACCTGCCAATGGATGAACCAAGCATAAGAAAAAGTAAATCAAATAGCAAAGATTCAACCAACTATTGGTTGATGTAGCAAGACCAAGTTCAGATTCTATAACAGTTGCCATAATGAGCCAAGTTCATTAAAACTCTCATAGTAAATGCATATTCAAAGAGCTACTTGAAGAGATGAATGACCTATAAAGTAAGGACCTTAGACCCTCTAAGAGAGTGTAATTTGAGAAAACTAACCTGTTGAGGAACACCAAGAGGGGAGGTAGTGATATAAGAGACTTTAAAATCATAAAAGACATAAGGGTCGTCAGCTAAACAAAGAGTGGAAAAGAGAGCAATGTAAAGCCAAAGAAGCAAAGCCATGTTACAGATAAACAACAAGAACAGTTTCCTTTTAGTTGCTGCAAGGATTAGGGTTTGAATGAAATGAAATGAAAGTTGTTTGTTTATGGAGTTTCACAACAACATTAAAGAAAGAGAAAGAGACATGAGTGAATGGATCTGAGGGGTGTTGGGAAGGGAACAACAAAGACTAAGACAACACATTCCTTGGTTTCAGTAATATTTTATTCAGTCTATGTATTGCTTTTAACCAGCTGCAGCCATAGTTGAGAGGGGGAGACAGACAGCTCTGTAATCTATGTAAGTGTAATGAAGCTGGCAGATGAAGGAAGAAAGTGCACTCTTTTCTTAATATTATAATCAGCAAAATTTCTCAAACTTGCAACGTTCAGTTGACAAAAGCACTCAGCCTCACATGCTGACGCCAGGCAGAATAGTGATTATCCTACAAGCGCTCCAACAAATGATTCATAAGAGAAAAATCGCCCAAAAAAACCACAGATAAAAAAGTCTCTAGGGTTTAATAAAATATTATAAATTCAAAACTCTCAAAATCAGTCCACAAGCCGGACTGTTATAGCCAAAAATCATCTTTATTCGAATTTTGCCAAAAATAGCAAAATCCCGAAAATCACTCTAAATTAAAATTTGAAATAAAATAAGCAATATCCAAAACATCCGGCCTAAATCAGATTTAAATTGACTTCCTAATTGATAATCGAAATATTACCATAAATAGTAAAAAAAATATAAATCTAGTGATTCGGAGGGGAAAACGATAGAATTTGAGGTTGAAAAAAAAGGCCACATGGAGCGTAGCTCATATGGAGAGCGTGCGCGTCGAAAAGAGCTTTCTGGATTGGGGTCTTATGCGCGATTCTGATACCTGTAGCCAAAGTTATGGCCAAAAGACTGAAACATACTCAAAACGACCCCAATGAGGAACGTGTCACAATCAATTCCCGCCTTTGCGCTGATCTGCCAATTCATGGTATCTCAGCGCCATCAAGGTGCAATCTGACAGCTCAGCATCATCTATCTCGGATCCCCCTGCATCAGTCACCCCGGGTTGGAAAGAACTCGTCCTCGAGTTCAGAGTAGTGTCATCAGAATCCACAAAACAATGACTCAGGTGTTTCACATTAAAGACATCAGAAGTCTTCAAGTGGCTGGGAAGGCGCAACCTGTAAGCATTATCATTGATCTTCTGCACGACCTCACAAGGTCTAATCTTCCGATCCTTAAGCTTATTATACTCACCAACAGGAATACGATCACGAGTTAATACAGCCCAAACAAAATCACCAACATCAAAAAGTATCTGACGACGATGATTGTCGACTCGAGTCTTGTACTTGGTATTGCTCTCATGAATGGTTTGTTTCACCTGTTTATGGATACCCCGAAGATACTCTGCCATCTCATCTGCTTTACGACTGAAATGACCTATACGTGGAATAGGGGCTAAGTCTAGCACCCCGGATGGGTTCTGACCATAGACAATCTCAAATGGGCTTAAACCTGTGGTTCTGTTTTTTGATCTGTTGTAGGCAAATTCTGCCTGAGGCAATGCCAAATCCCACTGCTTCGGCTTCGTTCCTGCCAAACACCTCAAGAGGTTTCCCAAACTTTGGTTCACCACCTCGGTCTGGCCATCCGTCTGGGGGTGGTAGGCGCTACTGAAATTCAACTGTGTTCCCAGTTTCCCCCACAGGCTCTTCCAGAAATGACTGATGAACTTAGTATCACGATCTAAAGTGATGGATCAAGGAACACCATGTAAACGCACAATCTCCTTGAAATAGAGATGGGCAATCCGGTCAGCATCCATAGTCTTTCTGCAAGCTATAAAATGAGCCATCTTGGAAAACCTGTCAACCACAACAAAGATAGAATCCGAGGCCCTTTGGGTGCGGGGTAAGCCTAGTACAAAATACATGCTGACATCGAACCAAGGAGCTTCAGGAACAAGTAAGGGAGTGTACAAGCCCGCATTGGTGAGAACTCCCTTAGACCGCTGGCACACATAACAATGGTCCACATAATAGGCCACATCACTAGTCAACTTGGGCCAATAAAAGTCAGAATAGATAAGGGCCAAGGTCTTATCTCGGCCAAAGTGTCCCTTATTATGGAGTTCACTTATAATTTGTTGCCTCAATGAACAATCTGGAATGCACAACTGTAATCCACGAAACAGATACCCATTATGCAAAACAAAATCATGACGGTGACCCTCAGTTACCTCCTGAAATATCCTTCCAAAGGAAGGATCAGCTGAATACATATCTGTGAACGTCTCAAAGCCTGCAACTTTAGTACTCATGGTGGTGAGAAGTAAGGTACGACGGCTCAGGGCATCTGCGACGTGGTTCAAACTCCTTGCTTGGTGCCTCAGCGTAAAAGTGAATTCTTGCAAGTATGCCACCCACTTGGCATGACGTCTACTCAGCTTGTGTTGTCTATTGATGTACTTCAAGGCCTCATGATCGGTAAACAGAATAAACTCCTTCTGTACTAGGTAGTGACGCCAATGCTTCAGGGACTGAACTATGGCATAGAACTCCAGATCATAAGTGGAATAATTTTTCTTTGATCCAGATAGTTTTTCACTGAAAAAAGCAACCGGACGACCTGCCTGACTCAGAACACCACCAATGCCAACGCCAAATGCATCACAATTTACCTCAAACACTTTGTCAAAATCTGGAAGTGCCAAAACTGGAGCCTCGGTCATCTTCTTCTTGACCAGTTGAAAACTGGCCTCTGCCTCCTCGGACCACTGGAAATCACGCCCCTTGAGGCACTCTGTGATAGGGGCGATCAGAGTACTGAAATTTCTAATGAATCGATGGTAAAATGACGCCAAGCCATGGAAAATTCGGAAGTCATGTAAGGTCTTTGGTCTGGGCCACTCCAAGACTGCATCTACCTTTGACTGATCTGCATGAACACCATCAGTAGACACAACAAAACCAAGAAAAGTCATAGAAGTAGTGAAGAAAGAACACTTCTTTTGATTGACAAACAAGCACTCCGTTTTCAGTATCTCAAAAATAGCACGGAGGTGATCGAAGTGTGAAGTCCATGTCGGACTATAAACGAGGATATCATCGAAGTAAACTACAACAAATTTCCCCATAAAATGCCACAAGACCTGATGCATAAATCTCATGAACGTACTGGGCACATTGGATAGCCCGAAAGGCATGACCATCCACTCATACAACCCTTGTGGCGTTTTAAACGCCGTCTTCCACTCATCTCCAGGTCTTATTCTGATTTGGTGGTAACCGCTCTTAAGGTCAATTTTTGAGAAGACCTTAGAACCAGATAGTTGATCCAACATATCATCTAGACGGGGAATTGAAAACCGGTACTTAACTGTAATTTTGTTGATAGCTTGACTGTCAACACACATACGCCAAGAACCATCTTTCTTTGGCACTAGCAGAGCAGGGACTGCACATGGGCTCATACTCTCTCGGATATAGCCCCTCTCCAATAACTCTTCCACCTGTCGCTGCAACTCTTCAGCCTCCTTGGGACTGAGGCGATATGCTGGTCGATTTGGCAAACTTGACCCAGGAACAAGGTCAATTTGATGCTGAATATCCCTCATAGGTGGTAGCCCAGGAGAAAGATCCTCTGGCATCAAGTTAGAGAATTCTGCTAGCAGCCGATGTACTTCTACTGGTAAATCTACATCCACGTCTACTGCATTGGTCTCGCAAGGTAGTAAGGCATAGACCACATCGCCATGCTCAATCTCATCTAAAAACCTGGACATAGAAAGCAGAGGGTTACTGGGTAGGAGTGAGTCCTTCCCGCCAGGGTGCCACACAATCTTTTTTCCCTTGATGCTAGGGAATATATTCTTCTGTCCATCATGAATGACACTGCGATCATACTGCCGGGTCGACCCAACAATATATGACACGCATCCATTGACACAACATCACACCAGGCATTATCAAATATTTTCTACCAATTGAAAAAGACACGGGCATCGCCTATCAACTGTTACCTCACTGCCTTTATTTAGCCAGACAGCTTGTATGGCTTAGGATGGCGTCCGTCTTCAACAGCAATTTCTGGACAACCTCCTCGGACACTACATTCTCACAACTATCGCTGTCAATGATCATTTTGCAGACTTTATCTGCAACTGTGCAGGTCGTGTGGAAAATATTGGTTCTCAACCAATCGCCCTTGGGAGTAAGTAGACTCTTGTGAACGACCAGAGTCTCATGACCATCTCCATACGCACATCATCAGTCCTCATCATCATCATACGGGTTCGCCAATCTCCTCAGTCTCGTCTTCCGTGTTTTCCTCAATCAACAAATTTTTACCCTTTTGACTAGCAGGCTTCCTGCAATCAGTCGCCCTATGCCCTTGTTCACCACAACGAAAACATCTAATAGTAGGGTTACAATTACCCTGCGGTGGCTGTTGAGCAGGACGGGAATCCTGAGGACGAACTAGTCGACTGTTGTGATCGTTCCTGATCACTGGTCTCCTGTTTTGCTGTTTTTCAACAGCAAGTGCACGCTGGTAAGCTTCCGAAACACTCCACAGTGAATGAAGGCTGAGAACATCTTGTAAGGGCTGGCGTAAACCCCCCAAATACCGCGCCACAATTTGCTCCTCCGTCTCAGATAAATCGTTCCGGGCGACCAATTGGTAAAACTCATCCGTGTAATCATCGACTGATCGTGCGCCCTGCCTCAACGCATGAAGTCGCTGAAACAAGGTTTGCGTATAGCCGAAGGAAGGAAGTGACCCTTCATCTTCTTCTTCATCTTCTCCCAATCAATGATCTTGGCCTTGCCATGTCTTTCTCGTGAACGTCGCAACTGTTCCCACCACGCAGATGCTCTGCCCCATGTCTTTCTCGTGAACGTCGCAACTGTTCCCACCACGCAGATGCTCTGCCCTTGAGTTTGATAATGATCAGTTTCACTTTCACACGATCGGGGACTTCCTTATATTAAAAAATACGCTCTACTTCATTAATC